TGATTAGCCATAACAACATTATATAGAATTAATATTATCTCCCAAAAGCAGTATACAATCTTGTCTGTTATATGACAGTATTTTCATGTTCCTTGAGTGATGCACATATTTTAGAGACAATTGACATCAAATGACAACAAGTAGTTTTAATTTTAAAACCTTCAAGTTGATACACAAGCAGGTTTTTACAATAATGTGTTTATAAACAACATGTTAATTGGACCAAAATAAATCATAAAGGAAACAAGAAATCAAGTAGTCACTTTTAAGTAATGATACTTTAAAAACAGAAGAAGATATTTTCATGCTTATTGGAAAAGCTGTTCATTTTATTCTTTTGCATATTGTTTTACTTTAGCAGTTGCTGAGGGTAAGCAATATGTAATGTACATTATAAATAACAGATTTTTGTTGAGCATGAAAATGCACTTAACTTCTTTAACACTGATATGAAACTATAAAAGGAAACAACATGCAGTGCAAATTGCAAATAAAGATTTTCATTGAACGTTAGCATGCTCTTTTCATTTATTCTTTTCATATAATTATATTTCATATAATTCATTTCCTATGAGCATTGTTTACACTGATTAGTGGCATGTAAAGTAATCATTTAATTGAAATTACATTTAACTTGATTGTTGTCACAAAAATAATTAAGTATTATTTTCAATTATTACCATTTTAGGTTATTCCAATCATCTAATAATTGACATTGCGGTTAAATTGATTAATGAACTAATTAATCTTAGTGTTTCCAGTTATTACTGTTTTTAATTTTTTCAATTATCCAATGATCAAAATATTGCCATTTTGATAGTCCATTATTATTTTGAACTAACTTAATGTTTTGGAACAACGTGGCACCTATTGGTCCATCTTGGCTGTTCCATCTTTCAAACTAAACTAAAACTGTTAATAAATAAATTTATAAAAAAAAAAATCTTAAAGCCAGCCCTTATCATTCATGTACTTATCAAGCTTTCTCTTAAACACACTTAAATTTACTGTTTCCACAACATCTGAAGGCAACCTGTTCCAAAGGCCAACCACCCTGTTAAAAAAATAAATCTGTCTTAGCTGGAGACGACTCCTACCTTGCCAAAATTTATATATGTATCCTCTAGTCTTACTACTGTCACTGTTGAATATGAAAAAAAAGATGATGCATCAAGACTATCAATTCCCTTTACAATCTTAAACACCTTAATCAGATCCCCTTTAACTATTCTTTTTTCAAGAGAAACAATTTCAGAGATTTCAAACTATCCTCGAATAAGAAACCCCTACATCCCAGACACAATTCTAATAACACTTCTCTGAACCCTTTCCAACAGTTCAGTCTTTTTCCTAAGGTAAGGAGCCAAAGACTGAACACAATATTTCAGATGTGGCCTAACCAGGGACCTATACAATGAAATTATATCCTCTTTAGTTTTGTATTCAATATTTCTGTGGATAAAACCTAAAATCCTATCTGCTGTACCACTAGCAACAGCACACTGTTTGGATGGCTTTAGAGACTAATCAACTACTACACCAAGATCTCTTTCTTTCATGACACTGTTAAGGTTATTCCCATCCAAATTATACTTATTCAAATTATGATCACCCAGATAGCATTATTTTGCATTTATTATAATTAAAACCCATTTGCCATTTATTTGCTCAACTCACTAAATGATCTAAATCCTAATGTAAATCAGCAGCATCCTCTTCACAGCTAGCAAGATCCAAGACATGAATATCATCTGCAAATTTAAGTAATTTATTGATCATTCTTTCATCTATGTCATTGATGTAAATTAAAATGAGCAAAGGTCCTAAGACTGAGCCCTGAGGTACCCCACTTGTGACATTGATCCAGTTTGACTGAACTCCATTTGTAACAACTCTCTGCTTTCTTCTATCCAATTTGTTAACATTTCCTCCACACCTGTAGAGATAATGTATTTACAAACCTTTTATGTGGCACCTTGTCAAATGCTTTCTGAAAATCCAAATATGCCAGACCTACACCCTCATCTACATAAGAAGTAACCTTTTCAAAGAATGTCAAAAGATTTCTAAGGCAAGATTTTCCTTTGGTGAAACCATGTTGACTATCCAATAAAATTCTAAACTTTGTTAACTTTTTCAGCACAGGCTCAGTTCCTGGGACTGACCTCGTAACCATTTTGTGCTTATTATAGTTTTCATGCTATAACTTTTAAATTAGTAAGTGTGTGTTAATGAAATTTGGCAGGTTATCAGTAAACATTACAGTGCTTTTATATGCAGGAGAAAATTTTTTTTTAACATGCAAAGTAATTTTCATTTTAAGATTAAAAATACTTTTATGTATCAGAAAATTTTGAAATTTCACATGTGAAATCTTTATAATGTCCAGATAGTTATCAAACATTTCTTAAGAAAAACTATTTTATCTGTTATTTTCAGTAAAGATTCTGTGTACAGGTTCAGTAGATTTGACCGATCTTGTAACCACCATAAAAAATTAGGAAATAAACAT